TCCTCGTCCTCTTCAATAGACCCCACTATTCAATGCATGACCTCTCCTACTGGTAGGGTGATCTCTCTCTTTGCTACATTGATCATAGCACAAGAAGTGGCTAGAAATGGTCTACTAAAGACTAGGAAATATGGGATTTCTGTATTCATCCTAATCACCACATACTATAGAAAGAACATGAAGGGCCCAATTTGCATGCTTAAACTTCAAAATATTCCAAGATGTTGACATGGAGTATAATCAGTCATTTTAATCTCCATATCTATGTCTTCCATGCCATCAAGACCCACATCTTCGTAGGAGGAAGTGGTAGTATGTTGACACTAGAGCCAAGATCTACCAATCATTGCTCCACATAATGGTCTTCTAGGAGACAATTGATCGTGTAATGACCAAGATCCTCCTTCTCTTCATATACTCTAATGAGCTCTTTATGTCCATAAGGAGTTGAGTTGATGTTGGTAAAAATTCTCCTTCTTTATAAGTTGCTCATGCTTCTCGCTTGGCTTTTCATAGCAATGATGATCTCCAATGATGAACTGGTCATGCTCGACCCTTACTTCTTTAAAGTTCTTGTTTCCAAGGTTTGTGTAGATCCTTGAGAAGGTGATATCAGGGGATCTTGAATGGTTTCATCCACTCCAAAGTTTGGTTCTTCTGTGCATAGAGATTCGTTGCTTGGGGTAGATGGGATGGCTACTCCTTGCTCTACTTCCTTTATTTTAGAGGGTGATGTAGAGGTTTCTTTTTTTCCAAGAACGAAGTGGCAGTCTTCGTCAGTTTTCAACTCCCAACTTGAGTTGAACAATTGATGGGTGTGGCTTGAAGCTTCCTCCATTAAGCTAGATGATATATCTTCTTTGATGAACTCCTCCATGATTGCTTGGATGGTGGGGGCATTTTGCTCTTCTTCTAAGTTGGATTCCATGTTGGCCTGGTCGTAACCATTCTTGATAGGTGGTTCCTATTGTAGCTCCTCCTTTAGTTAGTTAGGTTAAGATGGTTGCTCAACTGGTGGCACCTTTCCTACTTTATCATTTGAGGCTGATTATCCTTGCTTGAATTTTCCTCCACTATCTCTTCTTCAATGTTTGGAGGGTCATCATACTCGAATACTTCCTCCTAGATGTTTCCAATGGTGGATGCCTTGGTAGATGGAGTACTTTTTTATTCAGATTGAAGAAGGTGTAGGAAGTGTTCAAATACTTCAAGAGTTGTGAAGCCCTAAACATCTTCCCACGAATCCAAAAAGGTTTAGATTAGTGTAAGTTCTTGGATACTGCATCCTTCTTCTTCCATTGTCCTCCTAGGGGTTGTATCTCTTCCTCTCCTTCTTCAGAAGTTGTAGGATCACCTTCTTTATCATAGATCTCATTTATGCTGCAGGACTAGAGATGGATTTATCATAAATCTCATTGAGGAATCATCGATTCATGATGTGAATGAGCCCTAATTTGCATGATTGTTTTCGATTTCACTACCTATTACAATAACGTATCTTTACTTTGATGCATCTATAAATAAAAAAAAAGCCCTAAACAACTTTACTCTTCTTGATTGCTTGTTCAATTCATGTAGGTCATGATGGTTGGTGTGAGTAGTTGTGCATTAGAAGACCTCAAGGAATACGACCATAGGACATCCTAGGACATTTAATCACTTGCATGTTTACTACGCATCAGCGGCTACCTTAGGCATCCATGATTTTTCTTCTTCATCATTTTGCTTTTAAACTTCACTTGAGGGAAAGTTGGGTTTCGAACCCACCCCCCCCCCCCCCCCCCCCTCCTCCTCAAGTGTAAAAGTGGATAAAAAGTGCAAAACATATTTTAAAGTGATATTTATATGCATCTCACTAAGTTTGTTTCCTCCCAAACCAACTTCTAGGATTTTTTTGCAATTGGGTTGTTGCGATTACGGGTTGGATGTCTAATTGTTCATGTGGTAATGATAGGTTCGCTATGAGTCTTCAAGATCGGTTAGGAAGGTTTTGGAACTGATAAATGGCCTTCACATATCTTAGGCTTTAGCGACAATCCTACCCCAATGTTGGCCTGACCATGCTTATTATTCTAGGTCAATTGACTTTTCTAGACTTTTGTGTTTCTATGAAGTCCTGTAGAATTTGTGCTTGATTGAGCCATGACCATGTTGGGCGGATATGGAGGCGGTTGTGCCTATTCTTACTCCTAGATCTGTGGTTCTTCGTTATTAGACTCCTTGTCCAATCCAAAATACTCATTTGGTATAAAAAACTAAAAAAACTACGGCATCAAAAGTATAAAAGTAACTGAATTGCTATTCGTCGCCCTAAAATTTAAAAAAATTCGCCCTAAACCATAGTACATTGACGTTTATACCCTGTTTCCAATTGCAATCCCTAACCCCTTAACTTCCCCACCAGCCAAATACTAATACCGGCCGACGCTGTCATTCACCCAACCGCCGACCTGCTGCTGTTGCTGAGCAGATTAGTAAGTGTCGCAGTTCAGCCAAATACCCATGGTGGTTAGTAATGATCCATTGATTAGTAAGTGATGTTAAGCCAAATAGCCCTTGCTCTCTAGTTTTTCCATTCAGCCAAAAACCAATCCGCTGTTGCTCTCTTTGGAACTTCCGTGGTGGTTTGTAAATATCCATTGATAGCCATTGCTCTTTGCCCAGCCAGTCGACGCTACTGCTTTTTCCCCGCTACTCGCCGGATGGGTTGATATCGAAGCTCTCCGGTGACCCTGTGTTCGAAAGACAAAAAAAAAAAAACTAAGGGCATTAAAGTAAAATCAACATGATTAGGGCGACGAATAAGTATTTTTTAGGGCGACGAATAGCAATCCCCAAAAGTAAACATAAGGACTTTAAAACACATATTGGACAATATTGAGCAAATCCTAATGTCGCGATAGATCCTTTTACCATGAAGGTCATGTAGTATCATGTGGCCTGATCCATGGTCACACATGATGTTGCCTTGTAACATTCGCTTAAACTTAGGAATTTGCTCCATTATCAAGGCAGAGTTTAGAGGTATGGTGGAAGGGATCTAGTAAGCTTGGAGTGTGGTTTAGACGAGTATGAGTCAAGCTAGACTCCCATTATGCGGTTCAACTACTTCAGAGTAGTGATTAGAGCAACCACTAGAATACAACAGTCATTGACTATTTTCAGGAACTAGTTTGACAATATGAGTCGACCTAGACCTCACTATGCGGTTCAACTAGTTAAGAGTAGTGATAAGAGCAACCACCAACATCAACAGTCATTGATCGTTTTTAGGAACAATTTGATATAATTGAGACATTGCATCTCCCATAATGATGGCGAGGGTAATAAATGTGCAAATTATTTAATTAGTCGAGGACTTATTTTTGCCTCTTGGATTACATGATATTTGAAGTGTTGATCATGCTTTGTATTAATCAATCTTGTATGAAATTCATGGACTTTTCAAATCTCAATTGATTTGGAATGAAAGTTAGGATGTTTTTCATCCATTCATATTAATATAAATAAAACTGAAGTTAGGTTACTCTTGCCTAACAATTTACATTTTGATACCCCAAATTTACTTAAATCACAACTTAGTCACTATAATGTATAATTTACATTTTGATACTCCAAATTTAATTTTAATATAAAATTATTGAACTACTATGTTTTGGTATCTAAATTTTATGAGATTTTTGTACCTATAATTTTTTCAATTTACATATTGGTCCAATGTTTAGATTTCACTTGAATCCCTGAATCCAATCCACCAATCCTTTTAAACCAATCTATGAATCCAATCCACCATAACATTAAAGTATAAATTTAGTTTGTACAATACAAGATGGTGTATCACTCAACTGTAGGAGAAGATTCGACCATTTTATATTTGCTCATTACGTGAAACATTGAATAAATGATAAAAGAGGTACGACTCTAAAATATTGCAAGAGCGAATTTACGAACTCATCATTTAGTACATTTAGGGGGTACTAAACAAACTTCTACTAACTACATGTAACAAAATATGCGACATCGACATAAGCAAGTGTCGATAAATCGCTACGGTGAAAAGGGTTGATTGTTGTATTGACGGCCAACTAAAACAATTGGTCAAAACCTTTCAATCATCTACTTCCTTTTCGTTTCATTTTTCACTCGCCTTCCATAACTCTTTCTTTGCCTTCTTCGTCTAATCCTAATTAGTATACTATTTTTATGTATTCTATTCACAAGTATGAACGAGTCCATACACGACTCACCAACAGTCTAGAGAACTAATAATTGAGCTATGAACCACTAACTTTTTTTTCAACTCAATGTTGAGTCCAATTAAATATATATGGTTATTACTTATTAGAAAGTCGTTATTTTCCACTATGGGATGTGATATGTGTAGATATCTAGCCAAACATTCCATGTATATTTGTTAAAAATTCTAGCTCGGGTGAAAAAGAAAAACTCTAGAGAGAAACTTCCATCTACAAACTTCCAAACTCATATATACGTCATTATACCCTATCCTACCCATAATCAATGAGTCTACTTTGGTTTAGGTAAATATCATTTACGAGCCAAAATTTTCAAAAAATTTAAATTGAATATTGACCGCCGTATATCTCTTCTCGGTCAATATTACTAACAAAACTACTAACAAAAAATTAATTTTAGGCTAATAATACTAACAAAACACCATAATGGGCCACATAATACATGCTCATACGTCATATCCGCCCCACAATAAAACGTGGCATCGCCAAAAAATATTAATTAACCATTGAGATTAGTCGAAATTCAGAAAAAGAGATCTAACGGTCATATCACATTCGTTACCAAAATCAATGGCAAAAGGAATTCCAAAAGCTAAACAGTCCTCGCCCGTCTGTAAAATTTCATTTGGCCAAGTCTCCAAAACCATACTTTTCGTCAAAAAAAAAAAAAAAAACCCCATACTTGGGACTTGGTAACCTGAAAAATTAAAAGCTTTCATAGACTTGAACTGTTAACTGACATCTTATAGCTAGTATATATTCCTCTTGGCTCTTATCCTCTGGCTATTAATAAACTGTGGACTAACAGATGGAACTCCCAGCACCAGAAAGAAAGAAGAAATCTTATCTTGTTTTGTTTGATTCCACTCAATCCTCTAAATTCAGCAGCAGCCATAACTCAGAAACAAAGAGACAGAAAAAGAGAAGAAGGTAGAACAACACTGGGCGCCAGATAGCCGCCGCCCGAGGTAGGGAGAGAACGGGAAGAGATGGGAATGGCGGCATTGAATGTGGCGTCATCACCGCCGTCGCCACTCTGCAGCTTCTCTTCCATACACAGTCTGAACAACCATGATTATTATAATATTAACCATGCAAATTGCTTACATTCTGCAAGTGAATGGGTCTCCACTAAGGTTAACAAGAATAATTGTAAATTCCTTCCGTTCCCTTGTTCTTATCATTCCTCTGTTCCATCGACGAAACCCAAATCCGCAGTCTCTCGGATGCCAAGTAATCTCTCAAAATCAGGTGAATTTCTTGCCCATTAGCTTCTTAATTCTTACTCTCTGGTATTTTGCTCCAATAAACAATTTTCACGGGTTTTTTTTAGATTACCCTGTCATAAATTCTCTTTCAAGAACTTAATTAGGGTGTTGTTGTACTTGGGTCTTGTTTCAATCGGTGGTGTCTAGAAGCGATTAGGGTTGTTTCTAATCCCATATGATTGTAGAAAATTAACCTCAGTTCTGAAAGGTGATTGCTTTAGTCAGAAATGGGATTCAGCTTCAGAACACAATGTTAACAACGGCTGAATTGGGGTAAACCTAGTTGAAGTTGATGAAATGCTGAATATGGTTCTTAGACTAGGACATCCGTGTGCTTGGCTGACACCTTTGGATGGTTTTACATCACCAGGCGTTCTTTCTGATGCGATATGCAGGTGGCCATGGATGTTCGTGGATTCAGGGCAACTCCATTCACGTGCATCAGAATCCCATTTCCAGCAAAAACTGGAGAAGGGGTTCAGTGGATTCAGCTTTCCCATCTGCGCCTGCAGAAGTTGCTTCTGTGCAGAACTTTTTCGAGTACATATGCGCAGGTCCACTTATTGGCAAGATGGGTTTGACTTCAGATACAATTGCTGAGTCCATTGACAAGTGGATTCTCTATGGATCCCTCTTGAGCCGGTTGTTTCAGCTCAATGACATGCACCTCACTGATCCTCAGAAAAAAAGGTTTTACCACTACTATATCCCGGTTTTTTTATGGTGTGAGAATCAGATTTCCAAGCACGCTTCCCAGTTCAAAGATGGAGAAGACATACCTCCCCTAGTGGTACCGTTTCCTTACAAGTTTACAACGGCACTCTTTTGTTTATAACCAATGCTAGTTAGTAGTAACAGGGATTAGATTTTGTTTTACAGATTGGTTTTAGTGCACCTCAAGGTTGTGGAAAGACTACTCTTGTTTCTGCTCTTGCTCATCTCTTTGATGTCACTGGAAGGTAAACCAATGATAATAGATGATCCAAAATGTATATTGACACCAGACTGGGAAATTTGGACAATTGACCCATACGATTTCGTTTTCAGGAAGTCCGCGACAATATCAATAGATGATTTCTATTTGACGGCAGAGGATCAGGTACCTTGTCAATAAACTTCATGCCTTCAAGTTAAAGGAAGCTGAAGCAATTTTCATGTCAATTGCAGGGTAAGCTGAGAGAAGCAAATCCGGGAAATTCACTTCTAGAGGTTGCAAGCAACCAATCTCTGCTTTGAAATTTTTCTATACGATGAGAGCAGCCTCATGCAGGTGTGAACAACCTTGAAATAAACTTGTTCTCTGATTTGTGATTTCCTCTTTCTTCTTTAGTTACGTGGAAATGCTGGGAGCCATGATCTTCCATTCTCAGTTGAAACACTGACTTCTCTTTGCAAAATGACTAAAGAAGGTAGGACTTTTCCCCTTGGTCATCTTCCTGGTGGTGTAGCGCCTGTCTTATTTGATACTGTTTTTTTATATCAAGTTTTCAGGTATGAAGATGAAGTTACCCCGCTATGATAAAGTAAGATAGTTTGATGCTTTTATTGGGTTTTCTGTTGTTTAAGCTCAGAGTTGTTCTTGACCAACTTACTTATTTGTAGTCTGCATATAGTGGTAAAGGCGATAGAGCTGATCCTTCTGCCTGGCCAGTTGTTGAAGGACCATTAACGGTATCAAAAATCCTCTTTAGTCACCTTCAATTACTACAGTACAATTTTTAAAAATCCATTATTAGTTTACTCATGCAGTCATGTGCATGTTGCTTTAGGTGGTTCTGTTTGAAGGTTGGATGCTTGGGTTCACACCCCAACCTGTAGAAGCTGTTCGAGCTGTTGATCCACAGGTTATGGATTGAGTTCTTGTGCAATCAAGTCTTGTTTGTTCTATACTCAAATAACTAAAAATTTCTTCTTGATTGCACAGTTGGAGATAGTGAACAAGAATCTCGAAGCATACTGTGATGCATGGGACAAGTTTGTGGATGCTTGGGCAGTCATAAAGATCCAGGACCCAAGTTGTGTTTACCAATGGCGACTGCAGGTTGCTTTTTGATGTTGGAATGAAAAGATTAATTCTTTTATGCAGCTCACAAAGAGTTCTTGTGCCTCAGAAGCAAACAACTAGTCACCATTCTTTTCATTGGTATATGTCATTTTGCAGGCAGAGATTGCTATGAGGGAAGCAGGAAAACCTGGAATGACTGACGAAGAGGTTGTGATATGCTATCGACATCTTTTATCCATAATGTCTAAATTGTCTCTTTCTGAAGTGGAAACTTCACTGAGGAAGAGTTTTCTTATTCTGTTTTGCAGATTGAGGACTTCGTTTCCAGGTACCTGCCGGCATACAAAGCTTATCTACCTGTACTTTACACTGAAGGACCAAAGGGGTCGACTCCTGAGAATCTCCTGGTTATTGAAATTGATGAAGGCAGGAATCCCATTCTGGAGAACTAGCTAGTTAATATTATCATTTATCAGGAAGGAAAAATGCTGCGAACTTGAGTCAATTTTATGAAGATTTCCTTTTTCGTTTTCATTTGAAAACTCAGGTTTTTGCTATTCGTTGTTAAACAATCTAGAAACCTACGAGATATGAGTCCAACAAGGATGGCGAGAGATCATTACCCACTATGGAACCCATGGTGCTACCCTTTTAGCACCACCAAATCATCTCCAACCCATGGTGTAAAAGGGGGATAAAGGGCTAAAACAAAAAATTGGAGCCTAAAATAGGTCTAGTTCATGGAGGCTAAAATTTGGGAGGAGCTAAAATCGGAACCACTTTAGAAAAGCTGGCAGTCAGTAATCGTCTGCGCGGCAGGCGCGTGCCGCATTTTGGCGCACTCCCCGTCCGCGTGGCTGGCTGTCTTTTTGACCGTTGGCTGCTTTTTTTTCTTTTTATTTGCTTTATGGTTCTTTTTAAACAAATCGATACACATTTGCGGTGCAATTTTCGACCGTTCCGATGCTATTTGACGTCGAAAAATTCTATAAAAAATTTTAAAATTATATACCAACGGCTATAAAGCACGAGATTCAAAATAATAGCTAGAAAAAATTCTATAAAAACCTCATCCAACTCCTCATTTCATACACCATCTCATATCTCACTCTCTACACTTTCTCCAAACACCTCACCTCCAAAAAAAAATTCTCATCTTCTGCAATTTCATCATGAGCAAAAGAGGTGTCAACTAGTCTGAAGATGAAGACAGTCTTATGTCAATTTTGGTGCAAATATCATGCGACGGAGCAATAGGCAATGGTCAACCCTTCAAAAAGTTTTGGGAGCGGATAGATGAGGCATTTCATATGGTCAATCCACACTTGGAGCGCTCCGAACAATAGATGATGTCAAGGTAATAGGCAAGACGTGTAGCTTATGAAAGGGGGCATTGAGGAAGGGTAACGAGCAAAGATCTAGTGGTCAAACTGAAGATGACGTGGTAAGTTTTTTTTCTTTTCCACGTTGTGAATTTTATTATCTCTTAATCTTGATTATGAAATTATATTTTGTAAATATATGTAGTTGGCCATGTCAGAGGACATTTATAAGTCCGAAATGAAAGATAAGGATTTCAAAGATGAGCATTGTTAGAGGATCCTGTCACAATGTTCTAAATGGGAAGCTTTCCATTTTGACCGAAGTAATCATTCATCAAGCGTAAATGAGCAATTTCTCTATGATGTCTGGTGAAGCCTCGGCTGCCAACTTGTCGGGGAAGTGGTGAACATTCCTCAGCCTCCATTTGTTGTAGTTCCTGTTGGAGTTTGTGGTCGAACATTTGAAGCTCTGCATACTCTTGCTCATCAGACGAAGAAGATTGAGATGAATACATGATGCCTTGTTGAGGAAATTTTGAGAGAAGTAAAGAGTGGGGGTGATTTTTTTTCCCCTTTCAATAAGCTATATTATATAGACAAGATGAGCGGTGTGAGTTGTTTCAAGTACTAATAATTGACTCAGTATATTCAATTATTAGTACTTGAAACAACTCACACCACTCATCTCGTATCCAGAAAATTCAGTGAAAGAAGATTGAGATGAATACATGATGCCTTGTTGAGGAAATTTTGAGAGAAGTAAAGAGTGGGGGTGATTTTTTTTTTCCTTTCAATAAGCTATATTATATAGACAAGATGAGTGGTGTTAGTTGTTTCAAGTACTAATAATTGAATATACTAGTGTCCAAGTATGCATAAAGATGAAGTGATGGATCACTGAATTTTCCGGATACGAGATGAGTGGTGTGAGTTGTTTCAAGTACTAATAATTGACTATACTAGTGGCCGATTCTGCATAAAGATGAAGTGATGGATCACTGCATTGTCTAGATATGATATGGGTGGTGAGTTGTTTTACAATTTGGCAGGAAATTACACGACGAGATCAGCCTATCATACTCTCCCCGACAAACGTGATCATCCGGCTGGTCAAGAGAGTCATTTGAGCAACCGCCCAAACCGTCAAGACTGGAAGTGGTTATGGTCTCTTTCTCTCCCTCCAAAGTTGAGGTTCTTTGTTTGGAAGTGTGCTAAGAAGGCTATTGCAACAAGGGAAAGGTTGTTCTCGAGGAAATGTGCGCCAAATCCGATGTGTCCCCTTTGCGATACACACTCTGAAACAGTCATGCATTGCTTGTTCTTCTGCCGGTATGCTGCTGCTACTTGGAAGATATCAGAACTCATCAGCACTTTGCCCTCCCATAACTCCTCTTTCGAAGTATGGTTCTTCAGCCTCCAAGATACCCACTCCATTGCACATATTCGCAGGATTGTGTGCTACCTGTGGAATATTTGGCTTGCTCGAAATTCATTTGTTTTTGAAGAGAAGGCTCCTACCCTGGCCTCCACAGTGATTGTGTCGACTCGTGACTGTCTTAATTTGGAGGAAGCTCGTGTGACAGTGACGAGTTCCAATATTCTCTCTGCGGCACAATCACGATCTCAGCCTAGGGGTTCACGTTCGAATCCTTCACCACCGCCTTTCTCGGCTTCACGAGTGATGAACTGTGATGGATCCTTTGTCTCAGGTTCATCTTTGGCAGCTTATGGGATCACTATTGTTGATTCCCATGGTGAAGTGTACGACGGCAAGACTGAGTCTTTCCTTTGCTCCTACCCATTCAAGCGGAAGCATTTGGTCTCTTCAATGTCATCCTGATTGCATCGCAAGATCAGATTCCTACGTGTATCCGTACGGATTGCCAGGTTCTCTCCATTGCTTTGCGTCAGGATCCGATCCACTGGCCTTGGCAATGTCGTGCGACAATTGCTCGCATGTGTTCGATCCTCCAATCAGCTCTGTGGATCAAAGTCGAGTTTGTGCCTCGGCGTTTGAATTCACTTGCGGATTGGGTTGCCGGTCAGGCTAGGTTGTGTACGTTACCGATGGACTGGATCCTTATTTGTAACATCATTACTCCCATCTTGTAATGTTTCTTGCTTCCCTGTTTGGGGTTTGGAATAAAAAGTTTTTGCCTGTCAAAATAAAAAAGTACTAATAATTGACTATACTAGCAGCCAATTATGCATAAAGATGAAGTAATGCCAACAATTTCAAAATAAAGATGTGAACCATCAATTGAAGGGATTAACTAATAATTTTAACTATTAAAAAAAAGTATCTCGAAAATTTCTCAAATTTTATCGAAATGTTCGTATCTAATTATCATGAACAAATATATAAATTTAAATTGAAAAACATAACTTAAACTATTCATAAGTTATGATTACCAACTATGAAATAGAAAATTATAGCCCCCGATCTGCATCAGTTTTTGTTTTCGAGGGGGCTAAAAGGTCAATTTAGCCTTAACCCCCCATTTTTGCTCCATGAGTTGCGATTATCCTAAACCACTATGTACCAGAGCACACAACATAGATGCATCTACTTCGATGCCACCTCCTCCGTTGACTCCCCGGGGGGATATGTTACTATTGAGGCTAGGCACAAGTGCTAGATTGAGACTAACACCAACATGTATCGGTATTAGGGGTGGAAATCGGTACGGTATCGGTATCCCAATACCAAATACCGAAATCCCGAATACCGAATTACACCCTAAAATCAATCCCAATCCCTAAATAATTTCGGTATCCCAATCCCAATCCCTAAATAATTTCGGTATCCCAATCGGTACCTCGGTATCCCAATCGGTACCTCGGTATCCCAATCGGTATTATCGAATACATAATTACTTACCTTTGCAATTAATAATTAAATATATAAATTAAATTTTATTGTTTAATTTAGGGCGAAGAGACTAAGAAAATAGTCTTGAGTTGCCTAGAGCTAACATCTTAAGTTCTTGTAATTGGTAATCTTTAATTTGACGAATTTGAGGTTGAGAGACGACTAATAATAGTGTGAAATAGTGATATAATGATCTATGTATAATTAAATGACACTTTTGGTGGTTGATGGTCGCGTAGTAGTGAATGTGAGAGTCTAGTTGAGAGGATAAAATACACACTAACTTATATTTCGGTATTGATCGGTATTTCGGTATATACCGATCCCAATCATGTAATCCCTAATACCGAATAACAATTGAAATTCAATCCCAATCCCAATCCCACAAAATAATACGTATATTCGGTAATACCAAATATAGACAAATTCGGTACGGTATTCGGTATATCCCAAATACCGGTACCAAACTTCCAGCCCTAATCGGTATCACACCATGAACGTGGCACGACGGCATGCCCATCAGACACGGTGGATTACCAAAGCTTGGCAGCAGAGGATGACAATCAAAGTTGACTCTCTAGTTCAGAGCAATGCAAAGGCAAGGACCTGGATGGACACACATGGTCCAGGATTGCCAATGTGCACCACAAACTTTGGAGCAACCCCACGGATGAGGGTTTAGGTGAAAAATATTTTTTTCTAATTTTTTCCCTACTTGTGTTGAGGAGGAAAAGCATTTTCTCTTTCCCTTTTTTTCAATGTTTGTTTTTTTTTTCATTTCCTAAATGATTTGGATGTTAACCTCAACTATTTTTGCATACTCTTTTTATGAATTACCCACATTCGAGTATTTTCGTTCTTACCTACCCTTACCTTCTTATTATTTGATCTATTGAGGACATAGACAACGTCCCATTAAAGTGTAGGGTGGAGTAAGATCAAATTGTGCTTGAATTTATAAAAATAATAAGATTTCATAGTGTTTTGTTTCCATTCATATGCTAAATTTTACAAATCTAAGACTGCATCAACCACCATTATTGGCATGAGATTTTTAAAGTTGAATGCTATATTTTTGGATGCACGACCTTTTATAAAATCAACTCTATGGCATCCACTTCAAGTATTTGACTTGTCGTCTTTCTTTGAATCAATTTAATTTTAATCTATAAATTGCATTTTATCTAGGAAGACTAGTGTGGTGATATTTTTGTCTTGAGACATAAAGACCACTCATCATATTTGGATAACATGCATGATCTTGTCCGTTACAAATTTCCAAAATATGGCAATGAATCTTTTGCTTTTAATTTTTTTTAGTATAGTGAATTGTACCTTTATAATAAAAAATTTGTCTCACAATCAAAATAAAAACACGTTGCCATAACGAATATATTGTGGGGTAAAGTGCTCAACGTGTGGTACAATCATTCATTGCACATAGGGGTATGAAAGTTCAATTAAAAGTTGGTTCACGATCGTCAAATTTTGATCAATATTGTATGATCCCCCGTCGAATGAAGTTTTTCCTTGAGTATGTGCTTAAAATGCAAGGATAAAGCTTATGGCACCCCTTTCTACATTGACTTCCTCACGGATCGAGGAAAAGGAGTTAAAAGAGGCTTGCTAATGCACATTTTGTAAAAATTGTTATAGTAAGAAACAAAAACCCACTTATTAAATACGAAAAATCAACATGATAATAGAGTACTCTTATTGTCAAAAAGGTATAGAAGTTCTAAAGCAAATCAAAA